ACGTTTGTGTGGGGGCCCAAGGACTTGGGCCATCTTCTACTGCTTTCCCAGGCCATGGCAGAGAGCTGGATCAGAAGTGGAGCAGCCGGGTCTTGAACCAGCGCCCATATGGGATGCTGGCACTTCAGGCCAGGGAATTAACCCACTGTGCCACAGCACCAGCTCCAAGAATATAATTCTTACAACATTAGAAACTCAGTCATTAACCCTTCCCTCATTCCACAGTTACCTGCTGCTTTAGGCTGTGTCCTGGCAGACCTTTTTCTGTGTCTCCACACAAATAGATGTAGTCGGAAAATATTCGCTGTTGCCTTGGATTTTTCTTACCACAGTTGATATCATGTTGTATCCACCTTATAGAATCAGTGCAGGGGTTAATGCATGCTCAAGCTGGGGAATGTTTTCACTGCCCCCAGAAAGCTCCTTGATCCCTTCGCAGGCAGTGCTACCGCCCAGCCCCAGGCAACTCCTAGTCTGTTTTCTGTTACTTTGGATTACTTTTGACTGTTCTGGATTTCCATGTAAGTAGAAAATCATTGAATTTATTATTTTTTTCAGAATCTTTGGAAATGTTTGTTTCTGTTTGCTTTCAGATCCATCACAAAGTGAACTGATGGGAGAACCACACTTGATGGTGGAACATAAACTCGGTTTACTGTAATTCAGTGCTCTGTCCATGAAAACAGAAGAGCTGCATCTTGTTTATACCTGTCTTCTTGCTATAATTTGATGTATACAGCATTAAAAAATACTGACACATTTGAGAATTTTTGCCTCAGCAGTCTCAGTATCTTTGAAGTTATTTGGGTCTCTGGTTTGTGGCTTTGGAACAGTTCAAAGTACTTAAAATGATTTTATATCTCCTTTTTTATATTAAAACAGTAGTCTTCTGCGCATTTAAAATATGATTGCCCATGAATATTATAAAACTGTCTATAGATTCCAGCTCGGCCCAATGTTCAAGTGTTGCATAAAGGTAATTCTGAATAATCATTGTCAGTATTTAAGTCTGCAGACTTCATTACGGGCATCTTTCATAAAAGCGTTCATAATTGATTTCAGTGGCAGTACTTCATATTGACTCCAGTCTAAGAGACTTCACTTTGTCTTGTTTTGCTGTAAACCATTAATATTCAAAAGGTAATATTTGCTGTGTTGACGTTATTTTAGAGTGACAACTATTGTTTGATTCTTTCAGGTTGAAAAATATACACCCAGAGGTGTTAATTTTGGTCTTGTCTTTAAAGTGAAAAAAAAAAAAAAAAACCAGAAGGTATAAACTGCTAGTTTATTACAAGCAATACTGTTAAAACATTTTTTGTTACTAATTTATATAACCCAAGATGCTTAATTTTTAAAAACTATTAGAACATTCGTGTGTAAACTGCATCTATGAGCAAATTCCATAATAACTGACTTAAATCTTCCACATGATTGCTCTTTCTTATGTTCTTTATGAATGTGATATATGAAACTTGAGATTTTTAGAACATTAATGAATGGGTCATCTTTCAGTAACTAAAAATACAGATTTTGCTGATCGGGTTTTAAAGAAGCCTCTTTATCAGGTAAGTGACTGATTTGAGATGCTTGACAGTGACTGGAGACTTTTGCAGAACAGCTTTGGGAGTGGACTGCTACTGGCATCTAGTGGGTGGAAGTAAGGAGTGCAGCTGAACTTCCTGTGAGGCACTGGACATTGATCTTTGTTCAGGTAACAAAGACACTAAAGGGAAATGATCTTAAAACTCCTAAGTCTTGTACATCTTAAAAAATAGTTACTAATAAATACCTCAGAGTCCACATTTTGTTTCCTGCAGCGAAGAATCACGTGGCTCACCAGAGTTGACGAGGTTGACAGGCCTTGAGATGAGCCAAATGATTCATTTTGTAAAATTTCTCTTTTGCTTCCTACTATTAAGCTTAAAATAATCCTTGTCAATGCAGCATTTGCCAACCCACTTCACGCATTTAATAATGAGAGGTTCACTAATTGTTTCTGGAATCACTTAGCTGAAGAAATGGGAGGTTTCTTCTGCACCTGAGTTTCCTTCCTGAGGAAATAACGGATAGAGTTAAATGGGGGTCTGCTGTTGGGAGGTTGCCAGTCACTGACTCCTTCCTGCTCCAGTGCAGCCCTTGTGTTCTCAGATGAAGTTCATGTTATTGCTTGCAGTCAGGGTCTCTAAGTAACTGGCATCAGACAGTTGGTGTTACGGGGAGCAAGACCCACAGCGATGTGGGAACTGGGATGAGTTACCAGGGGAGATAGGGTAGGCTGTGAGTGTTGGTTAGGAAATGAGCTATCTCTGGCAGGCAGTTGTACAATAGCTTTCTTATCTGATCACTTGAAATCACAGGCCCCTGTTACAGCAAGGATCTGGGCAACCAAAGTATGAAAAGGTCAGGATGCCAGAGTAGCTGCTTCCAACTGCATTGGGAAGTTGCAAACAAGTGACAGAACTGCAGATCTCCAAAGCACGCCTAAAGCAAGATCAGCGTCTCCAGCACCAGCACAGCTGGTGAGGTCACTGCCCCACCAGATCTGTTGTGAAACCTGGGCCTTTGGTTAGGACCAGGAGTACCCCCAAGCACAGAATGGAGTGGGCATACTCAGAAGGGTGTTCCCAAGGTGGGGGTGGAGGTCAGCTTAGCAGAGAAAACCAAATCCGGAGAAATCCAACATGCGCAAAGATATGTAGACTTCACGAATTTTTATCTGCAAAGAATTCAAGAACATGTGAAAAAAATACTCCCTGGATTTCCTAGAAGTCCTTGCTGGCTTGGGTTGAGACCAGGCCAAGGTTGTAAATGCTCCCAGGTGATTGGATTAGCCTAGAATAAAGCTTGGTGTTTGGATTAATTTGGATTAATGCTACTGCCTACCCCCAACTGTTTGAATAAAAAGAAGAGAGGGTTGAGAAGCACTCATTTAGGCCAGGGGTTTCCAGATCTGGATGTCAGTCACCTGGGGAGGTTTTTAAAATCCATTCCAGAAACTTTGGGCATCAGACTAGGGATTTTTTTTTTTTTTTAAATTTCCCCCAGGTAATTTTGGTGCACAGGCATTTCTCCAAAACACTGAACACAGGGCACCCTATTCTTACTCTTGGGATTTTTGACTGTTCAGTGAGCAATCAGAGAAGTACTCTCAGTCCATTAGTCTTCTATTACAGGGGTTATGAGTCCCAGGGATCCTGATGGATACCTGAAACGTTAAGGCCCCTTTATAACCAACAGCACTTCAGAAATGGCATGGGGTGGGGGTGGGGGGGCAGGCTCTGACGCTGCTTGAGACACCCATGTCCCATACTGGCGTACCTGGCTTCAAGTGCCAGTGCCACTCCCAGTTCTGTCTTTCTGCTAATGCACAGTTTGGGAAGCAGCAGGTGATGGCTCGAGTAATTGGGTCACTGCCACCCTCGTGGGACACTCAGATTGAGTTCCAGGCTCCTGACTTCACTAGGCCCAGCCGTGATTATTTGGCCCATTTGACGAGTGAACCAGTAGAGGGGAGATCTGTCTGTCTTTTTGCTTCTCTTTTCTCTCTTTTACTTAAAGATTTATTTATCTGTTTATTTGAAAGAATTAGAGAGAGGGACAGATGGAGATCTTCCATCCAACGGTTCACTCCCCAGGTGGCTGCAATGGCCAGGGTTGGGCCAGGCCAAAGCCAGGAGCTGGAAACTTTATCCTGGTCTCCCACATGGGTGGCAGGGGCCCAAGCACTAGGGCCATGCATCTTCTGCTGCTTTTCCCAGGCCGTTAGCAAGGAGCTGGATTGGAAGTGGAGCAGAAAGACTTGAACTGGTGTCTGTATGGGATGCTGGCACTGCAGGCAGCAGCTTAACCCACTACATCACAATGCTAGCTCCCATCTTTGCCTTTTGAATATTTAATACATAAAAACAAAAGAAATAGGACCAGTGTTGTGGCGTAGCTGGTTAACTCACCACATGTGGTACTCATGTGTGTGTTGGTTCATGTCCCAGATGGGATGCCCTCCCAAGCCAGCTCCCTGCTAATGTGCTTGGGAAAGCAGTGGGAGATGGCCCAAGTGCTCGGGCCCCTTGGCACTCACACGGGAGACCTAGGTGGAGTTCAGGGCTCCTGGCTTCAGCTTGGCCCAGCCCTGGCTGTTGTGGCCACCTGGGGAGTGAACCAGCAGTGCTCTCTCCTGTCTCTGTAACTGCCTCTCAAGTAAATAAATTTAAGAAAATAGGAGATGGCCGGCGCCATGGCTCACTAGGCTAATCCTCCACCTTGCGGCACCGGAACACCGGGTTCTAGTCCCAGTCGGGGCGCCGGATTCTGTCCCGGTGGCCCCTCTTCCAGGCCAGCTCTCTGCTGTGGCCAGGGAGTGCAGTGGAGGATGGCCCAAGTGCTTGGGCCCTGCACCCGATGGAAGACCAGGAGAAGCACCTGGCTCCTGCCAGGTGTGGTGCGCCAGCCGCAGTGCGCCGGCCGCAGCGGCCATTGGAGGGTGAACCAACGGCAAAAGGAAGACCTTTCTCTCTGTCTCTCTCTCTCGCTATCCACTCTGCCTGTCAAAAAAAAAAAAAAAAAAAAAGTATATGTAGGGGCCAGCGCTGTGGCGTAGCTGGTTAAGCCTCTGCCTGCTGCATTGGCATCCTATGGGTGCCATTTGGAGTCCCGGATGCTCCTCTTCTGATTTCAGCTCTCTGCTATGGCCTGGGAAAGCAGTGGAAGATGGCCCAAATCCTTGGGCCCCTGCACCCACGTGGGAGACCTTTAAGTATCTCCTGGCTCAGCTCAGCTCAGCTCTGGCTGTTGCACCCATTTGGGGAGTGAACCAGTGGAATGGAAGACTTCTTTCTCTGGTTCTACTTCTTTCTGTAACTCTTTCAAATAAAAATACATAGGTAGCATATTTTGTAACTTACAGGGTGGCTTACTGTTGAAAGGTATCAGCTATATATTTCAGACTCATAAGGCATGAAATATATAGCTTTAAATAATTTCTACAAGTAAAAAACCCACAATTTTGTAGTCATTTAATTGAGTTTAGAGAACATGTACTGAGGCCACAAAAAATAAATCAAACATTGTCCCTGTCCTCAGGAGATGATTGTCCAGTAGGGGAAATAATTCCAAGGCAGTGGGAAATGCTGGGCTGGAAGTCCCAGGTGTATGGGGAGGCTGGGGCCCCGTAGGCCCTGGGGAGTCAGGGGAACACAGAGGCCAGGGTGTGGCTGGCACTGGGAAGTCTCACTGTGATGTAGGATGAAGGGCTAGTGGAAGAGGACCGAGTGATGTTTCCCAGGACCTCAGGGGTCTGGGGATGAGCATTGGGTGCCAGGAAACAAGACTGGAAGGGGTCCAGTCGGGGCGGGACCAGCATGCTTGCTGGATCCTACTCCCATGGGTGTCAACCCTGCAAGGTGTGTGTTTTAGAAACGCAGTTCTCTGGGCCATGGGGACTGTGCACGTGGTAGCTGGGAGAGAAAGGCTCAGGGTAGAACTCCCAGCCAGGGTTTGCGGAATGTGTATATCCCACTGACGTGAGGAACAAGTGCTGGCGCTACAGTAGAAGCTACTTTACACCACAGTTGGTGGTTTTTCAAATTTCTACAGGAAAATTTCATTTATAGTCTTTTTTCCCAGTCACCTCTGTGTTGCATATAAAAATATGATCATGCTGGTCGCGGATGAAACCCACGAGGGAAAATGAAGAAGCATGTTCTTTTCAGAGGACAGAATGGGTAATCACTGTTGCTGCCCTCAAGTGGAGGAATGCTTTCCTTTTTAGGATTTTGTTCTTAGTCAAAGCTGGTTATCAACAGCCCCTTGATGGGCTCTACAAAATCAAGCACTATCCAAGTATAGGCAAAATTATATTAGAAATATTTGAAAATTTGCATCACCATTTATCAGTGAGTTGCTGTGATTTTTCTTATGTCTTCAGAATCCCTGAGATATATCAGAAACCCATTTTGCAGATGAAGGAATGGATGTAAAGAGTTCTCGATTGCAGCGAGCCCGGAGGAAGTCCGGCGGATGATGGCTTTGGATCACATCTGGTGTCTTCATCTGTCTGGATACTCTTGACTTTGAGTTTCTTTTGTAAGTCCACAAGTGAGCAGTATTTTGAGATTTGTTCTTCTCTGTGTTGGAAATGTACTGCTTGAGAAGACAAAGTGCTTCAAGTGCCTGGTGCCATAAGCAGTTAAAGCCAGGAGCTGGTGGAACACTGATTATGCGGGAGCACTGATTGTGGAATGAGTTCTGTTCTGAATTTGCACTGCCCGGCGTGGGCGACCACGCGTGGGTGTCCTCAGCCTGACGGCTCTTCCCTCGGCTCCTCCTGTAAGAGGAGCCTGTAGCTCCCCTCGGTCCAGTTGATGCACTTGACGGCGCTGCAAAAGCACACGAGACATTGTGAGATCAGGAGGGAGAGTTCATAAACAAGGAATCCACACTCCCTTCTCTGATCCGGTCATGTGGCTTTGATAAATTCTACCAGTTGTGTAGAGAAGGAACATCCTGACTCCTCAGGCAGAGCGTAGCTGACCCAGGATGCAGCGCAGTGGGAGAATAATAACAAACCTACCTGAGCTTATTTTCTCTTTGGGACCCCTGACATCCCAGCTGTCCCCCGGCTACTCTTTGCAGACCACAAAGAATAGTGGGAGCTAAAGCTGTTCCTGAAGATCTTGTTCAGTAGCTAAGAAGCTGTTTGGTAGCTGCACCTTCAGCTCAGAAACAAGGGTACTTGGAAAAAATTAAAACTGCATGCAATTTTGATCTTAAAACTATTGAGCAGGATAAGATTAAAATAATCTCAAAAGCCCATCCACATCTACTTCATTATAATGAGCAATGTTAAGTATCAGTTTTTGACAACATTACCAAAGATTTCCTTATGTTAGTTCATGATCAATCATGAACCTTTTCTTTTTTTTTTTTTTTTTTAAGATTTGTTTTATTATTTGAAAGGCAGATAGAATGGGAGAGACAGAGATCTTTGATTTGCTGGTTGAATCAAATGGCTCAAATGGCCAAAATGTCCAGGGCAGAGCCAGGTGGAAGCCAGGAGCCTGGAGCTCCATCCTGTCTCCCACCCACATGGGTGGCAGGGACCCAACCACTTAAGCCATCTGCTGCTGCTCTCCCAGGTGCATTAGCAGGGAGCTGGATCTGAAACGGAGCAGCCGGGACCTGAACTCGTGCTCTAATGGGGGATTCTAGCATTGCAGGGGGTGGCTTAACCCAGTGCACCACCCCAGTGCACCGCAATGCCAGCCTCCACTGAACCTTTTTTTAAAGTTTCAACACATGTTCATGAGTTGCTTTATGATAGAGCTCAGTAAACTACATCATGTGCTCACTGACACAGCATGTATTTGCAATTTTGCCAATTAGATGAATGACTTTTTTTTAAACATACTTAGTAAAAATAACTTTTCATCAAAATCAGAGCAGCTGCGAATACTGCTGTACTCTAATACAGATCTAGGTATCAGAATTCTGTCGAAGGGCCTGTGTGGTGGCATAGCAGGCTAAGCTGTTGCTTGCAACATGACATTCCCACATTGGGGTGCTTTGCTTCTGATCCAGCTCCCTGCTAATGCACTGGGAAAGCAGCAGATGATGCCCCAGGTACTTGGACCCCTCTCACCGCATGGAAGACCTGGAGGGAGTTCCTGGCTCCTGAGCTGGGCCTGGACCAGCCTCAGCCATTGCGGCCATTTGGAGAGTGAACCAGTGGTTGGAAGACCTCTTTCTCTCTGTCTCTCCATCTCTCTCTCTCTCTCTGTCACTCTGCCTTTCAAATAAATAAAATCAATCTCTCTCTCTCTCTCTCTCTCTCTCAGAATTCACTTGAGACAATATATGAAAGCTTCAAAAAGTTCATGGAAATGGAATATTAAAAGCTGTGTCTTAGTTCCATTTTTCATGAGCTTTTAGAAAGTACCCTCTTAGATATTCAGCTCCTGTTAGGAATAAGACATGGGCTGGCCCTTTAAGGAGTTCACGGTCTGGGAACAATGCTTTCAGTTTAAGAAAATTATTGGGGCTGGCGCTGTGGCATAGTGAGCTAAGCTTCTGCCTGTGGTGCTGGCATCCCACATAGGTTCAAGTCCTGGCTGCTCCTCTTCCGATCCAGCTCTCTGTATGGCCTGGGAAAGCAGAAGGACTTGGGCCCCTGCACCTGCAAGGGAGACCCCAAAGAAGCTCTTGGCTTCTGGCTTTGGATCGGCCCAGCCCCGACCTTTGTGGCCATCTGGGGAGTGAACCAGCAGATGGAAGACCTTTCTCTCTGTCTCTCCCTCTCTTTATCTATAACTACCCTCAAATAAACAAATAAAAACTTTAAAAAGATTATTGTTCGTAAAATTAGATTAATTTGAAAGGCAAAGACACAGTTACACAAAGAACTGCCATCAGCCGGGTCATTCCCTAAATGTAGCCAGGTTTGGGCCAGGCTCAAGTGACAAAGATGCAACTACTTGAGCCATCACCTGCTTCCTTCCAGGGTGGGCATTAGGGGGCAGTGGGAGTGGGGAGTAGGGCTGGAACTTGCACCCAGGCGCTCTGATAAGAGGTGTGGGTGTCCTGGAAACCAGCAGCAGAATGCTTTGCAGGCCTGAGCTGGTAGGGACTGTTCTCCCGTGCTCTCAGCCTCACCCTACAGTGCTTATGAGGAGCAGAGAAGGCCTGGTGCCTTGTGACCTGCCTTCTCCTGGGTGCTGTCGCGGTGCTGTGCTGTCAGCCATGTGAAATGGGCCAAGCTCAGTGCAGGTGCTTCAGCGAGCTCTTGCTTCAAGGCCTTGGCCCCACAGACTGTCAAATGCATGTGCTTGGGCACTGTTGCGACCACTCACCCAGCTGGCTTACACTAGGTTCATTGGAAGGCAAAGGAAGGAAGAAATATTTCATCCGTGTTTATGCCTCTGATCTCTATCATATGTACTATACACAAATGGAATTTGGGGCTTGGTACTTATAAATCATTAAACAAGCTGATAGTAGAAGACCTCTTAATATTCACAACATGATTATTAATCCATGTTAAAGTAAATCGCATTATAATCTGAGAAAACGAAATTTAAATGTTATCTGAAGGTATTTCAGAAATTCCAGGACAAAACAGGGCAGGTGTTTGGCCTAGCGGTTAAGCTGTCAGGATGCCTGTGTCCCACTGTGGAGTACCTGGATTCGATTCCTGGCCCTGGCTCCTGATTCTAGCTCGCTCTAATGCAGACCCAGGAGGCAGCAGTGATGGCTCAAGTCGCTGCTGCCCAAGTGGGAGACCTGAATGGAGTTCCCTGCTCCTGGCTTTGTAGAGGGCATTTGGGGACTGAACCAGTGGAAGGGAGTGCTTTCTCCCTGGCGGTCTTTCCACCCCCAGCTTTTCTCTAGAAGAAATAAAAATAACTTCTTTTCACAGTTTGAGGACTGCCCAGCAGGCGGGCATCCCATGTTAGAATTCAAGTGCCAGCTGCTCTGCTGCCGATCCAGCTCCCTGCTAACGTGCTAGGAAAGCACTAGATGACAGCCCAAGTACTTGGGCCCGTGCACCCACGTGGGAGACCAGGATGGAGTTCTTGGCTCCCGGTGTCAGCCTGCCCCAGGCCAGGGTGTTGGGGCCATTTGGGAAATGATCCAGCGAATGGAAGATCTCTTTCTTCTGTGTCTCTGCTTCTCTCTCTTTTTTAAATAGATAAACACATCTTTAAAAAATAATAAAGTTTGAAGAAAATGGAGTGAAAGGATAAGCTTATTTTGGTAGAAATCCATGCAATTTTTTCAGCATGCTCACTTTTGAATGACACTTCCTATGAACTTTCTGAAGTGTCTGTACATTTTAGATGCTTATCTGATGATTTATATTTCAAGAGAAAGGAGGAACCTCTCAGGCTCTCTAACCCACTCTCTCTCCTAGCTCTGGTCTCTCTCGGTCTCCAAAGTTGCAGACTTCCGTTTCTGAAAGTTATCGAGGGGAGCACATCCTGGGGCAGAATCCCAGCAGCTCTGCCCGAGGTGACCGCTGCAGTCAGGGAGTTCACTGAATGTAGCTGCCCGCCGAGAAAGTGACCGAAAGTTCCCACTCACCTCAGGCTGATCAGTGGGATTAGTAACAGACCGGCAGACAGCAGAAAAGTGAAGCCCGGGAACCAATCCACTGTGACTGAATAAATTCCATTAAAAGTAGACCCTGCGGCAACACCAGCCAGGGTTTCTAAGAAGGCAATGCAAGCGAACAGGGTGCCTGTTGGGGGAGGGGTGTGGGGGAAGACAAAGAAAGGGCTGGGTTACAAAACAACAAGCAAAAGCCAGTGGAGCCAATTGGGATTCATTGAAAAACAGCAGACATGGTGACACTGCCTGGTGAATGAGTTATTCCTTCAAAATCCCTGAGGATCATGGGAAGCCATTTTTGCCAATGGAGAAACCACAGCAAAGAGTTCTTTCTCCTTGGACTCGAGGTGGGAGCTGCTGAAAATGAGAAAAGCTGAATTGCAATGTCCAGAGGGCAACCGCAGCTGACCCAGGTCTCTGCTCCTGGCCACAGCATCAGGCAAAGCTGCACCTGCCCATTGCTGTTCCATCCCCAGGCTTATCTGCGACACCTGTGGACACGGTGGCTCCCAGCGAGCAGCGCTACCCACCCAAGGCCACCTGCAAAGCAAACACATCCTTTTCATCAGCCTTTCAGCGCTGGCAAGATTGACAGGTGCAGGCAAAGACTGATGAGATCCTTCCCATATACTCTGCACCTTGAACTTCACCCCGCCCTCCAAAGTGATCCACAACTCCAGGCTCCACAATGTTCCTCGAGTTTGAGGCACCAAGTGAACTGCCCTGTGCTCTAGTGAAGCCTTATGCCCCAGTTTGAGGTGAAGTGGCTCTTTAACACCTGCTTCCATTTCACCTGCTCGCCGCTGCCTCTGCTCTGGGGAGCCTGGCGAGGTGAGAAGAGGAGGCCCTTTGCCGTGGCCACACCTGCTGTGCACCAGCTTTGCCGGAGGGCCAGTGTGCAGCGCTGTTAGAGAAGTGCCGGATGCCTGCACATTCTGTCCAAGTTCACACTGGACATTCTTCTACCAATTGTCGGTTCTGCCTGGAGTCCCTGCCACAGCCAACAGTAGTATGGGGGACAGACAGTGCCAGTCTTGTTCTGTGACGTTCTGGTAACGCACTCTTGGTGGGAAGTGGGGCAGACCGTGCCATCTGCCTGACACAGTCCGACTGGCATGAAGGAACTCTCCCTTGCTGAACTCCTCGGAGCAGCTCAGCTTGTTTAACAGTTGCCGGAGAGAAACAGTAACGACAAGTGCAATTAAGTATATTTCCCAAACTTTTAAAAAACCCAGTAGAACTAAAGAAGCAAGTCTGGTTTCCTCTGTTCCAATTCACAATAAAGGAGCACACAGGTTATGTCAGGGTAAAGCAAGTAGACCAAGACGGCTTTAGCTGTGAGTTTCACAGTGTAAGAGCATAGAGATGACTTCAAAATCATTACCAAGATTCTATTTCTCACCTTTCTTAAGTAGGATCAATGACAGACGTCTGAAAACCTCTGCAGTATTTCCCGTCCCCTTCTGATTATGTTAAAGTACAGAATACTTTCACGAGAAATGGCCAGTCTTTAAGGATAATAAAGGATAGGAAGACATTTAGCTATGAAATTTCCACAGCAGTCAAAGGATTTCTTGGTTTGCAGTTAGAAACGAAGTATTTATGCTCTCCTAGAATGATGGAGTCACAGTTCACAAAGTCACATCATTCAGAAATGCCAAAATGTATACTAAACACTTTTCAGTGTTACTGTGTTTAACACTGGGATGACTCTTCAGAAGCCATTACAGGGGACTGGCATTGTGGTGCAACAGAATGAGCTGCCGGCCGCAACGCCACATCCCATATCAGAGCACCAGTTTGAACCTGGCTCCCTGCTAATGTACTGGGAAAGCAGCAGAAGATGGTACATGTATTTGGGCCCCTGCCTTCCATTTGGGAGACTCGTATGTTGCTTCGGGCTCCTGGTTTCAGCTTGGATCAGTCCCTGCTGTTGCAGCCATTTGAGGAGTGAACCAGTGGATGGAAAATCTCTCTCTCCCCTGTCTCTCCTTCCCTCTCTCTCTCTCTCTCTCTCTCTCACACACACACACACACATACACACAGAGTTTTTCAAATGAATAAATAAATCTTTTAAAGTAGGTATAAACAAAAATATCCTATCTGCCTATAATCCGACAATTCCAGTTTAGCTCCAAGTCTTAACAGGGAGGCTTTGTTCCCTGGTAGCTTTGTGGAGATGGAATACACAAACCCTAACACTCAGCATTTGGAAGTGAACAGTTCCAAGGATCTCAGTATGTTCACGGAGTTCAGTAGCCATCAGCACCATCTAACTAGAATGTTTGCATCAAAGGCAAACTCTGCACACATCGTCGGTCACTCCCCATCTCCCCCGACAGTTAGCGGACCTGAATTTAAGTCTGTACCCACGGATCTGCTGATTCTGGACATTTCGTACAAATAGACCCGTACTTAGGTGTGGTCTTTGGGCATTTTGCATCTTTAATTTAGCATGAGGACCTCACAGCTTCCACACATGGCGGTGTGCATCGTATCCTGTTTTCTTTTTATGGAGCACTGGGAGCCCACTGGAGAGACACACCACGGGTGGAGGATTAGCCTAGTGAGCTGTGGTGCCGGCCTAATGTCAGATTTAAGAAACTATTGCACAATCTGAGGCAGCAGGCCGAGTTTTACTTAGTGTAGTTATAAATTTTTATATTCCTAAGTGATTTTCAAGGTAACCATCATCACACAACCTATGAATAGCTGTGTGATTAATCAGCTACCTTATGAGTGGGCAAAAAAAAATCAAGAAATGCATTTTTAATTTCTTGAAGCAGGCAGTCTTCTGCAGTGTTGTCTAAACTGGCATAAATACAATGGCATAATTGTGGATTATCAGTAAATAATCAAATAAGGCCACTTATACCCGGCTGGGATGGGAAACAGAAGAAAGTTCCAGAGTCTAGGGCTAGTCCATGATGTGAGAAGGACGGGGGGTGACCACAGCCCAGTATCCTACTAATGGCTAGGCTTTAGCTAGAAATTTCACGCTTGTCTCCTTCTGCACTGGTGGTTCTGTTGGATCATCTGTAGTTGGGAGGATGAACCCACAGCTTTTAAGACTTGGGCATCCTTGCTGGCCCAACTTCCTGTGCACTTGATCAAGGGATGATGTGGGAGAAAAGGTTATGGTGTGTCTTCTCTGTTCCTGCCACACATTGGGCATCTCCCTGGCTGCCTTCTCACTACCTGCATCACCACAGTGCCAGGCAGCCGTGTCTTTGCATTTGAAGCAGTTGAGTGAGATCCTGTTTCCTCCCTGGACTTGGACTTGGGTGCAGCTGCAGTATGTGCAGCACCCAGAGAAGGGACAGGATCAGAGGTCAACATACTGCATTCCATGTCCAGTCAGTCCTTGGTGTTCGCAGGTTCCTCATCTATGGATTCAACTCATCTTGGACCAAAACTGTAATTAGGCCTGCAATGGTTGCATCCTACTTAACATGTGCAGGCTTTTTTTTTTTTTTGGTCCTCATTCCCTCAGCAATATTACATAACAGCTATAGACATAGGAGTACACTGTGTTAGGTAAGATCCGTAAACTGGAAATGGTTTACAGTGTACAGGAGGATGTGCGTGGGTTCTATGCAAATACTACTCCAATCGATAGAAGGGACTTGTGTGTGCATGCATTCTGGTATCTGCAAGGATCCTGAGACCATCCTCAGTGGTTCCTGAGAGATGGACTGTATTTAGAAGTTATGACCCTGGGGGCTGGCACTGTGGTGTAGCAGGTAAAGCCGCTGCTGACAGTGCCAGCATCCCATATGGGCGCTGGTTGAGTCCTGGCTGCTCCATTTCCAATCCAGCTGTATGCTGGCTTGGGAAAGCAGTGGAAGATGGCCCAAGTCCTTGGGCCCATGCACCCACATGGGAAGACCAGGAAGAAGCTCCTGGCTCCTGGCTCCTGGCTCCTGGCTTTGGATCAGCGCAGCTCCAGCCGTTGTGGCCTTCTCAGGTGTGAACTAGTGGATGGAAGACCTCTCTCTCTCTCTCTGCCTCTCCTTCTCTCTCTGTGTAACTCTGACTTTCAAATAAATAAATATTTTTTTAAAAAAAGAAGTTAGGACCCTGGCTAATAAGCTGTCATTTAAATATGTTCTGTCTCCCCACTGTGAGAAATGTAACTTTGAAGGCCAGACAGAAACAGAATTCCCAGGCTTTTTTTTTTAAACAGTTCCATGCTGAAACACGATAACACTGAAAGAGCTGGTGCCTGGGTCTCAGTCCCAGGCTACAGTCATCCCAGGCCACAGGCTCAGAGAGACGCATGTACACACATAGGGGTATGCAGTGCCCCCTCCTCTGCAGTCACCAGGTCAGGCCCTACCCTCCTGTAGAGAAAGTCACTGCTTGGCTCCCCCTGGAGGAGGTGAGCGCTCATGGCAGGCCCCTTGGGAGAAAGGGCTGGGGAAGTGGATTCGCCGACCCCCCACTGGGTCCAGAGCTGTCTCTTGGTTGGGAATTCCACGGATCCAGCAGCCGGTGGGTTTGGACCAGTGCAGATTGTAGGCTGCCTGCACCCCGTGAACCCGCGACACTTACCTTGTTCGGTAGAATGAACCACTTTGGACAGCATGGCCCGCAGCACAGACAGCGGCACGATGGTGAAGAGAAACGGCACCCTGACTGGGAGGAAAACGGCAGGAGTCACTGTGGGTCACCAAACCCACAGCCAGCTCCAAAGGCGAAACCTTCTGTCTCCATGTTCATTTTCTGCCAGCTTCCTAGTGCACTGCCCCGAAAGATGGAATTAACCAATTGTAGGATTCTCTCTGATGAATTTAACAGGGACTCTGCATATGTGTCAGCCTAAGGGTACTTTAGAATTCTTATTCCAGGCCGGCGCCGCGGCTCACTAGGCTAATCCTCCACCTTGCGGCACCGGAACACCGGGTTCTAGTCCCAGTCAGGGCACCGGATTCTGTCCTGGCTAACCCTCTTCCAGGCCAGCTCTCTGCTGTGGCCAGGGAGTGCAGTGGAGGATGGCCCAAGTGCTTGGGCCCTGCACCCCATGGGAGACCAGGATAAGTACCTGGCTCCTGCCATCGGATCAGCGCGGTGCGCCGGCCGCAGCAGCCATTGGAGGGTGAACCAACGGCAAAGGAAGACCTTTCTCTCTGTCTCTCTCTCTCACTGTCCACTCTGCCTGTCAAAAAAAAGAAAAAAAAAAGTCAGTAGCATTTTGAGTTATATCATAAAACAGAAGTAGATTATTGGGGCTGGTGCTGTGGCGCAGTGTGTTAAAGCCCCAGCCTGCAGCGCCAACATCCCATATAGGCTCTGGTTCGAGTCTCAGCTGCTCCACTTCCCATCCGGCTCTCTGCTATGGCCTGGGAAAGCAGTGGAAGATGGTCCAAGTCCTTGGGCCCCTGCACCCATGTGGGAGACCCAGAAGAAGCTCCTGGCTCCTGGCTTCGGATCAGCTCAACTCTGGCCATTGCGGTCATTTGGGGAGTGAATCTCTCGCTCTCTGGCTCTATCTGTCTCTGTAACTCTGCCTTTCAAATAAATAAAATAAATCTTTAAAAAAAAAGAAGTAAATTACATTTTCAGTCCGTTTTAAAGCTTTTAAAATATTTTCACATGTTAACTTACCAGACCTTGGCAGCTGGTAGGGAGACAGAATATAAAACTGGAATTTATTGACTAGTAGGCATCGTGCTAATAGCAAGCAAGGGTATCTAATCCAATACAAGCAAGGACACTTCAAAAAGCTTGCGGAAAAATGGAATTAAAAGATTAGTTTAGGGGCAGGTGTTTGGTCGAGCATTGGACCCACCACTTGGGATGCCTGCCTCCCATATCAGAGTACCTGGTTTCAGTTCCAGCTCCTCCACTTCTGATCCAGCTTCCTGCTAAGGTGCACCAGGGAGGCAGCAGGTGACGGCGCAAGTACTTGGGTCCCTGCCACCCAGGTGGGGGACTCGGCTTGAGTTTCAGGCCCTTGGTTTCACCCTGGCCTAGCCTTGGCTGCAGAGGACATTTGGGGAGTAAACCAGCAGATGGAAGATCTCCTCTCTCCCTCTCCCTCTCTCTCTCTCCCTCTCTCTTGGACTCTCTGCTTTTCAAATAAAATGAAACATTTGTAAGAACTAAAATAAAAAGATGAAAAAAAGTTTATTTTGATGCAAAAATGTTTGAAGCCCATAATAGTTTTCTCATATACTTTTCATGAATTGTTGGAAAACCCATTGTAGTCATTATTACCCCTGAAGTAATTACCACTGTGACCATTTTAGAGATGTGAAATGAGAATGCAATGTAGTTAAATAATTCGCCTGGTGCTTTAGATGGAGAAAGTGCCCGTTTTTCACTCCACTTTAGACAGAGCGGCCGGGAGCTTTCTGGAGTTCCCCCTGTACAGTTCTAGTGTCTTTGCCATTGTAGGATCTCACTCAAGCCCTACAAGAACAGATAGGAGGTGGGGGGTAACTACGGAAGCAGTCCAAGGTGCCCAACAGCAACTTGGCAACCATCACTTCACACAGTGACCGACTGGCTCAAAGATCAGTTTGCAAAATCTTGTGTGCAAGAACTTTCCCCTTGAATTCAATGAGTGGGCGCTTTTCTTATAAATATTTGGGAGCATCCTCTCTATGATTATTCTAAATATTTTTAAATGGAAAATAGCTTTCTTAACAGCATTTTAAGAAATGCTCATGTCACAGAAAACTATATTGAAGAAGAAATTCCAAAAAAGAATGTTCTTCAAACAATTTTTTGGCAAATATGAGAATTTGGAAAGTTGCTGTTATTCAATAAATTAATTTTTAAAAAAAGATTTATTTCATTTATTTGTTAGGCAGAGTGACAGGGAGACAGATCTTCCATCCGCTGTTTCACTCCCTAAATGGCCACAGTGGCTGGGGCTGGACCAGGCTGAAACCGGGAGCCAGGAACTCCATCTGGGTTTTCCATGTGGGTGGCAGGGACCCAAGTTTTTGGGCCACCTTCCACTGCTCTCCATGGCACATTAGCAAGGTACTGGATTGGAGGCAGAGCAGCCAGACCTCGAACTGGTACTTGTATGGGCTACCAGCATCATAAACAGCAGCTTAATCTGCTAAGCCAGAATGCAGCCCTTAGTAAGTTAATTTTTTTTTTTTTATTTTTGACAGGCAGAGTGGACAGTGAGAGAGAGAGACAGAGAGAGAAAGGTCTTCCTTTGCCGTTGGTTCACCCTCCAATGGCCGCCGCTGCAGCCGGCGCACCGCGCTGATCCGATGGCAGGAGCCAGGATCCAGGTGCTTTTCCTGGTCTCCCATGGGGTGCAGGGCCCAAGCATCTGGGCCATCCTCCACTGGACTCCCTGGCCACAGCAGAGAGCTGGCCTGGAAGAGGGGCAACCAGGACAGAATCCGGCGCCCCGACCGGGACTAGAACCCGGTGTGCCGGCGCCGCAAGGTGGAGGATTAGCCTATTGAGCCACGGCGCCGGCAGTAAGTTAATTTTTTTTAAAGCAAATTTGATTTTCAGCTTGGTGGCTTCTGGCAAAGCAGGTTTTTTTTTTTTTTAATATTCAATTAAACTAGAATGGGGCAAATAAAGAACTTTCTATTAAAGCGTTTCTCCAACAGACCGCGTTCACCTTCCATAAAGTGAAATACACCGCTCTAAGGCCACATTTGCAACTCACCCAGAAACATCATCAGAGTTGTCCTGGCAAACGCAGTCAGAGCCATTCCCGACATGGTGGTGAGGATGCCGATGAAGGCGATGTGGATATCTTCCATGCAGTAAGAGAAAAGCCATATTCCCAGGAAGCTGCTTAAAAAAGAGGCACTCCCCAAAGCGGACCCGTAACCGATAAAAACCTCGTTCCAGCAGAGCGGTGAATTCAACTCATAAAGGATAAAAATCGGGGACATGCCAACCACCAGGAAGAAGTATGTGATTACGGTACAAATTAACAAGTAGAGCGTGATCCGCCGCTTCCTGGAAGCATTTTTAAAAAGCGCATATGTTCGGTAAAATAGGTTTTTAAAGCCTTCACACCACGACATAGCTACACTCTCCGGCGAAGGCTCTTTCATTGGATCGCCGAGAAAAAATAAAATGTAGATCAGGTTGACAGCCAGCGTCACGGCAATGATTACGAAGGACCACACGAAACCGAGCTCTCTGATAAAGTAGCCAGAGGCGAGCCCCGTGAGTCCAGTCACAAGTCCAAGTATGAAGTCGATCACAGCTATCCGGATAATTTTCTGCTTGTGGTCTTTACACTGATCAACTATGTAGGCAAGGCAAGCTCCCCAGAAGGTGGTGTAATTGCCACAAAGTGCACCAAGGAAGGTCGATGCAATCAGAAGCTGGAAGGGGAAGGCAAAATAGGAAAGCAGGCAGAGCCAGACGCTGGTGGCCAGGGCCCCGGCGGAAGACAGAATCATCGGGAGCTTTCGTCCGTGGAGGTCACTGTTGGACAACAGTATGAATGTGGACACCAGGCCAGGAATCAACCCGCTCATTTCCATCTGCAGGCTGAAAAGAGACGCTTTTTTCTGAACTTCCTGCAGAGGAATAAGAAGACAATATATGCACAGAGGTTTATACAATGTGCATTGCAGTATCCTGGTGCATGCTTTTCTTTTTTAAGATTTATTTATTTGAATGGCAGAATTACAAAGAGAGGTAGAGACAGAGAGAGGTTTTCCATCTGCTGGTTCACTCCCCAGATGGCCACAATGACTGGGATGGACCAGGCTGAAGACAGGAGCCGAGGGCTTCTTCTGGGTCTCCCACGTGGGTGCAGCACTCTGCTGCTTTCCTGGGTGCATTAGCAGGGATGGGAACTGGAGCAGCCCGGATCCAAACCGGCGCCCACATAGCATGCCGGCACTGCAGGCTGGGACTTTAACCCACTGCGCCATAGTGCCGACCCTGGTGCCTACTTTTCTTGACGTTGCCAAGGGCAGAGAGTCTCTGGTGTAGGGGCGGGTGGGACCAGCTTCAATCTTCATCTGAGATGCAAAGATGACATCATCGTTCACACTCAGTTGCGATACTGAAGTCCATTTGTGGGGACATTAGCCCATAGAAAGAAAAATGTACTGTTATGTGTGTTCTGCAGAGGACTTGTAGCTCCCAAAGCCTCTGGCGTGAGCTGAAGTCCAATTTGTCTGTCTTCTCGGAAGAGTGGGCACCGAGAGCTCACAGTCACCGTTAAGCGACATTTCCGTGAGACGCCTTCCTATCTGTGCTAACACGGAACAGGAGCAGCCGGGCCGCCCTTTCTACCTGGCTCTCCACAAACAAATCTGTGATACGTATTCCTTTTTTTAAATTACATAAAAGAAAATTTAAAATAAGATCAAACCCAAAGAGAAGCCTTGTGTTGACTAATGATGGTAGCAGGCCACGCATCAAGGAGCAAGCTGACCTCAACTCCCGAGGACTGAAACGATGACAACTGCACAGACACAGAGTGAAGGATGGGAGAACTGTAATGCCAGTTATTTCACAGAAAGAATTTAAATTTTTTTTAAAAAGTTATTTGAGGAGGTGCCAGCACTATGGCACAGTAGGATAAGCCTCCACCTGTGGTGCAGGCATCCCATATGGGCACCGGTTCGTGTCCCAGCTGCTCCTCTTCTGATCCAGCTCTCTGCTATGGCCTGAGGAAGCAGTGGAAGATGGCCCAAGCCCTTGGGCCCCTGCACCCATGTGGGAGACCTGGAAGAAGCTCCTGGCTCCTGGCTTCAGATCAGCCCAGTTCCGGCCATTGTGGCCATTTTGGGAGTGAACCAGCGGGTGGAAGATCTTTCTGTCTCTCTCCCTCTCTCTGTCTGTAACTCTACTTCTCAAATAAATAAATAAAATATTTAAAAAAATAAAAAAATCACAATGAGACACCACTTTACCATTGGATGGCTGCCATGAGAAAGACAGATAATAACAAGCGTGGGTGAGCATGTGGGAAACCCCAGCCCTCTCATAGAGTGCTGGGGGAGATATGCAATGTGCAGGCGCTCTGGGAAGCACTTTGTTCCCCACATCATCAAATATGTACAGCTACTGTATATGATCTAGCAGCTCTACTCCTAGGTATAGACCCAGGAGAAATGAAAGCATAGGTCCACCAAAGATTGCATGCAAATGTCAATAACAACTTGGCTCTCAATAGTCAAACCCAAAGGCAAAGACCCAAACACCCATCATCAGATGAAGAGGGGAAAAACTGGCGTGTCCACATGATGGATGTCATTTATCAACAGAAAGACACGAAGTACGGCTTCATGCCACAACACGGACAAACTTTGAAAATGTTATGCTACATGAGACAAGCTGGTCGCTAGAGTCCACATATTGCATGGCTGGATTTCTAGGAAATGTCCAGGATAGACAAGTGTAGAGAGCCAGAGAGTACAAAACTCGCCACCCAGGAGTTGGAGGTGGGGACACAGGATCGGGGCCTGACAGCTAGTAAGTATGGAGGTCCTTTTGGGGGTGATGGCAACCACCTACAATTGACTATGGCAACGGCTACACAACTCTGATTTGCTAACAGTTAATGAACTGCACATTCTCGACAGGTGAATTGTGTGGTATGTAGATAATATCCTCGTGAAGCTGTTCTTAAAAAGAATAAAACATGTCCAGCCCAGTTAATGAAGCATTGGAACTAGACTGATAGAACATGGGCACTGCCACGTGCAGCCTCTGGGCCTTTTTCCTTCTGCTGGGGTTTTAAGGTAGGAGACCAATACCTGTCTATCCACCTTTCTACAGGTGCATCTGTCACCTTGGGAGATTTCTACCTAAACCAGTGGAAGCTCAGGAGGGATCTGCTGGGAGCTGCTCCTGCAGTGTGACCCATGTTGGACTAGAGTGGATTCTGTGTAGATTCATTGGCCTTCTCACCCGGATGTCCCAATGCATCCCCTCCTCTCTAGAGGTACTTTCTAAAAAAAGAGGAGCCCTCAGGAAAATAATGAGCCCAGTGGGCTAGGTAAGGTCCCTTTCTCTATGTCTCTCCCTCTCTTTGTCTGTAACTCTACCTCTCAAATAAATAAGTAAATAATTTGTGAAGCAGAGACAGGCAGGGTAGAGGGGTAGAGAGAAAGAAAAGATCTCATATCCACTGGTTCCTTACCCATGTGCCCACAACAGCTGGGGCTGGACTGAAGCCAAGAGCCAGCAGGTCTCTCACATGGATGGAAGAAACCCAACTATTTGAGCCATCACCACTGCCTCCCAGAGTCCGCATTAGCAGGAAGCTGGAGTCAGGACCTGAAGCCAGGCATCAAGTCCAGGTACTCTGATATATGTAGGAGTCTTAGCCATTAGACCAAATGCCTACACCAATGGAAAGAATTTTGTCTGACTCAAAAACAATTTCTGGGGGCTGGTACTGTGGTATAGTGGGTTAAGCCTCTATCTGCGGCACTGGACTCCCATATGGGTGCAGGTTCATGTCCTGGCTGCTTCTCTTCTGATCCAGCTCTCTGCTATGGCCTGGGAAAGCAGTGGAAGATGGCCCAAGCCCTTGGGCCCTTGCACCCACTTGGGAGACCTGGAAGAAGCTCTTGGCTCCTGGCTTCGGATCGGCACAGCTCCAACTGTTGTGGCCATCTGGGGAGTGAACCAGTGGATGGAAGACCTCTCTCTCTGTCTCTCCTCTCTGTATGTAACTCTACCTCTCAAACAAATAAAAAATAAAAATAAAAAAATGAAAACAATTTTTGTCTCTGCTTCTCTGTATATTCTGAGTTTATTATAAATAATACATGCTGTTTTTATGATGGGAAATATTAAACTCATTTTAACAAAAGATTTATTCATGAGTATCTAGAATACACCCCAAGCAAAGGATGAACTACACAAATAGAAAATATGTCCACTTCCTTTTTTTTCTTAGTTTTTTTTTTTTTTAATTTACTTGAAAGGCAGAGTTACAGAGAAAGGAGGGGGTGGGAGAAAGAGAGACAGAGCTTTCATTTGCTGATTCACTCCCCACATGGCCACAATGGCTGCGACTGTGCCAGGCCAGAGCCAGGAGCTTCTTATGGGTCTCCCACATGAATGCAGGGGCTCAAGCACTTGGACCATTTTCTACTGCTTTCCCAGGTGCATTAATAGGGAGCTAGATCAGAAGTGGAGCAGCTGGGTCTCAAACTGGTGCTCCTACAGGATGTTGGCACTGAAGGTGGTAGATTTACCTGCTAGGCAATATGCCAGCCCTGCCACTTTATCTGCTGTAACCTAGCCTATGGGAGGTCAGGAACTTTGACTTCTGTACCACAGGGCCACCTGCTCTGGGAATAGCGCTGAGGCAAAGGTCGGTACTCAGTAGAGACTGACAGAATAAATGAGTAATCAAGTAGTGCAGTACAACTCGGTAGCTGTGCATGACCCTGACCAAATGACAGAGCTCAGTAGCTTCTTCCTCCAACAAGAGTAGCCGTCCCTACTTCACGGGCTGTTGTGGGCATTAAATTTAAATAAATATAAGTGCTCAGCACAAGGCTGTGGCTCCTACTCAGTGTTCAAGTTTAATTCTTTCACCTTTGCTAGGGTAGACTTCTCCAGCTCATCTTTGGGTCTCTACCAGATAGAGCAGCCATCAAGTAAATATTTAGGGAACGACTAAAGCAAAGTTACCTTTGAATCAGCTTCTCAGCAAGATTTTCCTCCTTTGGGTTCCTCCCATTTCTGCCCCTGCCACGCAACTCCTGCCACGCAACTCCTGCCTTCCTCTTTGTATCTGTCATCACTCTTAACCCAGTCTTGTACACAGACTGCCTTCTCATGTGGAACCTGTTTTCAAATGCAGATTTTAACAAAGACAAATTCAAGCCCTGTTTCCATCCCAAAGTCAAAGTCCAGACACAGGAAACAAATTGTGCACGTGTGTCTGTCTGTATCTTTGGAGCTGTGGGACATTACCGTCGTAAATTCTCTAAGGGCAAATGGACAAATCACAGTCCACAGAGTGCTGATTCCTGTTTGAGACTGAATATCACGCCAAGGTACTGAGACAGGAATGTAGGGAAGGAAGCAATGGCAATTTTAAAGAAGTCACAATTTCTTTCTTTCTTTTTTTTTTTTTTTTTTTTTTTTTTGACAGGCAGAGTGGACAGTGAGAGAAAGAGACAGAGAGAAAGGTCTTCCTTTGCTGTTGGTTCACCCTCCAATGGCCGCAGTGGCCGGCGTGCTGCGGCCGGCGCATCGCGCTGATCCGATGGCAGGAGCCAGGTACTTCTCCTGGTCTCCCATGGGGTGCAGGGCCCAAGCACTTGGGCCATCCTCCACTGCACTCCCTGGCCACAGCAGAGAGCTGGCCTGGAAGAGGGGCAACCGTGACAGAATCCGGCGCCCCGACTGGGACTAGAACCCAGTGTGCCAGCGCTGCAAGGCGGAGGATTAGCCTAGTGAGCCACGGCGCCGGCCCAGAAGTCACAGTTTCATAGGCGAAAATGTATGTGGTGACTCCAACTGAGTATAAGATATTCCGTGTCATTTTTCCTAAGTAAGAATCTGCTGGTTTTGAGAGATTGAGTTTCTTATTAAAATGTTCAGTTTCTCCCAAGCTGCTTTTCTGTAATGGCAGGGTCTCTACTTTGAAAAAATGCTTGGGGAGGATAGACACCCATCACCAACTGAGTTACAGGGGCACTTCAAAAAGTTCATGGAAAAACAAAACTAAAGATGTATGTTTTGGTACACAAAGATTTTCAAATCCATGCCTAGTTTTTTTTTCATAATACACATTTTTTCATGAACTTTTTGGAGACCCATTGTGTGTGCGGATTTCAAAAATTTTGGCACCAAAATCATCAAATCCTCTTACCTTTTAATTCCACTTTTCCCTGACCTTTCTGAAGTACCCTTGTCATTCAAAACTAATCATTTAACAAGAGGAAGGAGTGGGAAGGAGTTTACAAATTCCTTCCTCTACAGTGGTCAACAACCATGCCCAAAATTTCTTACTCCTTAACCAAATATCCCTTCCCACAGCGTCATCATGCTGTTAAGAGGTCCTTTAGAGATTAACCTCATTGCCCGAGAAAAGTGTGGCTCATAGTCACAGGGCTCAGAAACCCAGAAGAGCTGAACAATAGGTTAGATTAATACCAAGCTGTTTCTATGAGTATGCTGATGTAGATATATGGTAACCCAAAATGGGTTGAAAAGACAAAACTTTCACCAATAGACTCCCAATATATCAAATGTAAATGACAAAGCTCACTTTATTTTCTATCTATGCCCTGAAACTCATAATACCTTTCATTTCAGTGCATATACATATGTGTATTTGTCATATAAGAATAAGACATCTAATGTGTTATTATCATACGCCCTACCTTCTTGACTACAACTGATTTTTAAAAAAAGATTTATTCAGGCCGGTGCCGTGGCTCAACAGGCTAATCCTCCGCCTGGCGGCGCCGGCACACCGGGTTCTAGTCCCGGTCGGGGCGCCGGATTCTGTCCCGGTTGCCCCTCTTCCAGGCCAGCTCTCTGCTGTGGCCAGGGAGTGCAGTGGAGGATGGCCCAAGTGCTTGGGCCCTGCACCCCATGGGAGACCAGGAAGAAGCACCTGGCTCCTGCCTTCGGATCAGCATGCTGCGCTGGCCGCAGCGCACAGGCCGCGGCGGCCATTGGAGGATGAACCAACGGCAAAGGAAGACCTTTCTCTCTGTCTCTCTCTCTCACTGTCTAACTCTGCCTGTCAAAAAAAAAAAAAAAAAAAAAAGAAAGATAAAAAAAAGATTTATTCATTTATTTGAAATGCTGGTTCACCTCCCAAATGGCCACAACAGCCGCAGCTGGGCCAGGCTGAAGCCAGGAGCCCACAATGATACCCAGATCTCCTAGGTGGGTGGCAGGGGCCCAAACACTTGGGCCATCTTCTGCTGCTTTCCCAGATGCATTAGCAGGGAGCTGTGTTGGAAGTGGAGCAGCCGGGACTCAACCTGGCCTTCCAATATGGGATGCAGGAGTTGCAAGCAGCTGCTTAACTAGCTGTGCCACAATACTGGCCCCACAATTGATGTTTTGAGAGGAGTTGCAAGAAACTGAGTTTGAGCTGGAAAAGAAAATTGATTCATTTATCATATTAGGGACTCTGTGCTGTGGCCTCTCTTATTTTTAGGGTTTGAAGAAGAGGCCACACCTCCCTAACTTCCTTAGGATGAGTGGCCAGGGTCCCCGCAGCAGCGCTGGGTGCTGCAGATGGAGGCTCAGGGAACAGGAACTGTTTGCTCTTGGGCTTAGCGGGAAGAGGATGTTCTCCGAGGGACCAGAAGGAAGTGCTGAAGTGGCACCTCCTGGAGGAGAGAATGCTCGGTTTGCGGCCCTGGCCCAGCTCTGGGTGGGGCCGTGGGAGTGAGGGTGGCTTTCAGGGAAAGGATCTAGAGTAGCATGTTCTCTGGAATAACTGATTCAATTAAAAACAATTAGTAAAAAAAAAAAAAATATGCAATTTAAATCCGTGGGCAAAATCTAAATGAGGCCACTGCTCCGAGCAGTGGGAGGTTCTCAGGAGCTGGGCCAGGCCAGAAGCCAGGAGGCCAAGACCCATTGCCTTTCCAGACCTTCAAGTTTTCTTCTCCATGGTCCCTCCCGAAGGAACAAGGCAGTCCCAGGGGTCTGGTGATGAAAAGCAGGGAATCCAAGGCAGAAGCAGTCGTGTCCATCACAGCTGCTGGGAATGACAGATGACAGCCAGCCAATGCTCAGGAAGGGAGGCGGAACCACCTGGGCGACCTTGGCCCTCATCTTGGTAGGACCTTTCCATGGGCCAGAACCGCCCAGTCATTCCTAAGAAAACCTCTCCCACGGAAACGAGAAAATGAGTAATGCACCCCCCCCCGGGGGGGGGGAGGCAACACCACCTGACAACTGGGGTGCATCTCAGAAAGCCCAAGAGCCTTCCCTCTGGGCCCCCTGCGCCACGTCCCTGACTCCACGGAGAGCCAGTGGGAGGTAACTCAACTCCTGCAAACACTTCTCATTTTGCACTGGGAAGGCAGCACCGCATCTGGGCCGCACAGAAATATCCCCAAGGGGAAGATGTTCCAGGTTTGTTTTTGAGGCACTGAGGAAAAAACATTTCCAAATCTGGATGTGTTCTCTGTTGCATCTGGGTCTTGGTAGCCTTCCATCCAAAACCACTGAATGGAGCAGAGAAGTGGGGAGGCATCCCCTGTTGTAAGGAGAGGGGTCTGGGGGGAGGGGAAAGGCCCCAGAATATCTGGTGAAACATATTCTGTGACCCAAGGGGCAAAGTGCCATCCCAATACAGCCGCTGCCACCCCCACGCCATGACACCCGTCCATGGTTCTCAGTGATGGGCCACCTTTTGCAGTCCTCGAAAGCTGGGCCAGGGCCGGGCCTGGACTGCATTGTAGCATGTTAAGCCACCGCCTGTGGCACTGGCATCCCATATGGGCACAGGTTCAAGTCCTAGCTGCTCCACTTCTGATCCAGCTCCCTGCTGGTGGCCTGGGAAAGCTGCAGAAGATGGCCCAAGTACTTGGGCCCCTGCACCCACTTGGGAGACCCAGAGGAAGCTCCTGGCTCAGCCCAGTTCTAGTCATGTCCATTTGGGGAGTGAACCAGTGCATGGAAGACCCCTCTCTGTTTCACCCTCTCTCTCTAACTCTGCTTCTCAAATAAATAAGTCTTTGAAAAGAAAAAGAAGAAGAAAGAAAGCTGGGACAAGCAGTTGCAGAAGGTGGCTGGAGGAAGTGGGCAAAGGAGAAGCAGAAACCCTACATCCCACCCACCCCACCCACTCTGCGTTGGTTCAATGGCCAGTCTTTGCTTTTTGCATAAAGGAGGGAGACAGCCCTGCAGGAAGTGAGACTGACATTTTCCAAGATGACAGAAAAGAGCTGTGAGGAGGGTGTTCAGCCGGGCAGGTAAGACGCCAGCCAGGACACCTGTAGCATCCCTATGAGTGTGGCTGGGTTTGAGTCTTGACTGTGCTTCTCACTCCAGCTTCCTGCTAATGCAGACCCTGGGAGGCAGCGTAAGGCCTCAAGTTATTGGGTTCCTGTCACTCACATGGAGACCTGGATTGAGTTCTTGGCTACCAGCCCCAAGTACCGCCCGCATTTGTGGAGGAACCAGCAGATGGGAGCTCTGTGTCTGTCTCTGCTTATTGAAATAAATAAATAAACAAACAAATAAATAAAAGCTAAGAAAGGCAGGGAGGCTTTGTTTTTGTTTTTATTTATTTTTTTTTAGAAGAACTAGAGTCACACGAAAAGGAGGTTTTAAGAAGAAGCAGAGGGGGCCGGCGCTGTGGCGCAGCAGATAAAGCGCTGCCTGCAGTGTGGGGCAACCCTCCAGGCTCCTGGCTCCTGGATCAGCGTTGAGGCCATTTGGGGAGTGAACTGGTGGATGGAAAACCTCCCACTCTCTCTCTGCTTCTGCCTCTCTGTAACTGCCTTCCAAATAAATAAATGAATCTTTTGATTGATTGATTGATTTTTTAAGCAACAGGTAGGGGCTGACATTTTGGCATAGCAAGTAAAGCTGCTGCCTGCAATGTTGGCATCCCTTATGAGTGTCAATTTGTGTCCTGGCTGCTCCATTTCCAATTAGCTCTATGCTAATAGCCTGGGGAAAGCAGTGGAAGATGGACCTAGTGTCTGGGTCCCTGTCACTTACGTGGAAGACTTTGATGAAGCTCCTGGCTCCTGGCTTTGGCCTGGTGCAGCCCTGGCATTGTGGCCATCTGGGGAGCGAATCAGCAAGTGGAAGACCTCTCTCTCTCTGTCTCTCTCTCTCTCTCTGTGTGTGTGTGTTTGTGTTTGTGTGTGTGTCTGTTTCTCTTTTTGTATCTTTGACTTTCAAATAACTACAATAAATCTTAAAAAAAAAAAAAAAAGGCAGATGAAAGGTTGTCAGGAAAGCCCAGGATGAGAACTCAGTCTGATGAGTTCCGGTCACCCTGGAGAGGCCAAAGTATGATGACTTAAAGCCCCAGCCCACTTTCCCTTTTTATGCCATTTTAGGGGTATTTTAATTTCTTACCTCCTGGAATTCAAAAATCGGGCTGCTTTTGTTTTTTTCACACTCAGAAACATTGCTATCAGATGCAAAGGAGTAGTTGCCCGTTTCCTCCCATATTCTCCTGTACACATACTGCGTTGTCAGCGGCGAGGTTAAGGTCATGGCAAATGCATTCAGGAAGATGGCAGGTTCCACAAATAAAACCTTCATGTTGCCTGCGTGAGGCGGCGGGGGCCTGTAAGCAGAGGAGGAGACAGGTTATCGGCGGCGTGCGATCTTACCCCCCGAAGCTGGGTCCTCATAGACCTGCCAGCGAAAGCGCAGAGGCGCAGGAGGCGCCTCGCAGGACGGGAACTTCTGCTGCGGGGCCCGCGGCTGCCACGAGCGGCCTTTCGCAGAGGAGACCCGCCGCCCTCCGCACCCGCTCCCCACGCACGCTGCCAGCTGCTGTCCCTAAAGTAAACAACTTCCCTCCGGGACGCGCGGTTGCGTAACTGTGCTTATTTTGCTGCGTGTTAACCCACTGCGGGAGGACTGGGGCTTATAAAAGCAGCGATCAGCAAGGGGCCTGTGCTTCATTTTTTCAACTCACCCCACGACCGCGGTCCTCCTGCCCGGCGAGGCGCAGTCCAACCCCGTCGGCGGGCTGGCTGCTCCGAGGCCCCGCGCGGGCAGCGCCCGGCCGGTCTGGGGCGGCCGGGGACGTGCCGGGGCTGGGGGTACGCGGGGAGCCGGCAGGGGCTACGCAGCGGCGCGGGGCTCCGGAGGACACGTTCCGGAGCACTGGGGCCGGGTGACTCGAGCCCTGATTTATAACGCAGACCGAGACCAGAGCACTTCCGCGTGCAGGGTGACACCTGCGCCGCTCCCCGCGCAGCCCTCGGCTCTCCCCTGCTGGGTCTGCTGCTGGCGAGTCGGGCGCTGCGTCTGTCACTCGGTCCGCGGCCCCGCCCGCGCTGGGAGCCAACTCGCCAGTCGCGGGCTTAGCACAGCGGCTTGCCGGGGACACCCCAGCTCCTCTGCCATTGGGCCCCGTGGCCGACGCCTCCGCGGCGATTGGTCCGCCCGCATGTCACTCTCGTGCGCCCGCCTCCCCTTCCTTCCCCCAACCCCAGCAGAGAGGCCTGGAGTGATTCGCCGGTGTCACTGCACAACTGGCTCGCTCGAGGGTCTCTGCGGTTGCAAAGGGTTTCTGGGTCCGAACATCGAGTTTCACGGAATCAAACAAGACATCAGTTTTAAAAGCATCAGGGTGGGCCGGGCAAAGTGCCCGCAGAAGAAGCGTAGTTGGGAGGGACGGCATAGGGTGCGCCGGTGGGGTGCGGTGGAGCAGCCTTGGGCTGCTCTTTCTAATGCTGCGACCTTGAACAGCCTACGGACTCTGTGCCTCGTGTCTATTTCTGTGCGATGGAGGTAACAGCAGCGTTACCGGGCGCCTAAGAGGAACCGAGGTGCCCCCGCGCCCCCGCCGCAGACCACCGGGCGCACACCTATAGTAGAAGGAGCCAGGCTCTTCTGTTTGCAAAGAGGAAGAATGCATGCATGAGGAACTGCGGGCGGTCCTCGGGAAAAGGTACTAGGTAGAAGTGAGCACGGGTTGTGCAGTGTGAGATGAGGAAAAGTTTGAGAACGCGAGGCCTGACTCTGTACTGGCTGCAGTCCGGAAGTGAGGATAATCCTGTGTTAGCAGCGTCTTAATGCATCTTAGCCCGCAGGAGGCAAGACGAGACGCAGGCGACAGCCACGGGGGATTAGAAACTCAGCAGCCCCACATGCGAGTCATTTTTGTGGTTTAGACAAGGTTTGTCTGTGTTCGCACAAGATTATGGCGTGGTCTTGCTTGTTTTTCGCTTGACGCTGGTGTAATGGGAAACTGCTTTTCTTCAACAGAACACCGTGATCTGGAAAAGCCTGTAGCAGCACCAAGGCCAGCCAATGGGGCTGGGCTAGCACCTGACTGTCAGACCGCTTCCTCTTTCTCAGCACTTCCTAAATGATAGTTACCTTGCTGAATGTGGAGTCCAGTCTTTGGTTTGTATCCTAATTGCTGCTTAATAGCTCATAACCTTGGCCTTGTAACACTTCTCAGTTTCTGCAAATGAGCATGTATAGAGCACTTAACTCTTGAGTTTCAAACAAGGGAGTAGGGCTGTTGGAAAGAAGGTATACATGGGGCAGGTGCTGTAGCTTCAAGACCTGGCTGCTCCACTTCTGATCCAGCTCTCTGCTGTGTCCTGGGAAAGCACTAGAAGATGGCCCAAGTCCTTGGGCCCCTGCACCCACATGGGAGACCTGGAAGAAGCTCCTGGCTCCTGGCTTCAGATCGGCACAGCTCCAGCCGTTGCGGCCATCTGGGGAGTGAACCAATGGACAGAAGACCTCTCTCTCTCTCTCTGCCTCTTCTCTCTCTGTGTAACTCTTTCAAATAAATAAATAAATCTTTAAAAAAAAAAAGAGAAGGTATACAAAAATGAGTCAGATGGTGTTCCCTAGGCAAAAGGATAAAACTTAAAATGCTATGCACTGTGCTAGGTGCTATATCAAGGACACATTCAAAGTGGGAGGGCCAGTGAGAGTGGCAGACTCCACCTGGATAGAGCTGGAGTTATCTCCATCTGTCTACACAAGAACACAAGAAAAAGTAAGTGAAATAATCTATGCACACGTGTTTTTGACTGCTGTAAAGCATCATGTGGCTTTAGCTGGTATTACTACAGCAACATCTACTCTGGGACTGGCTGAATCTGCTTTCTAAACAGTGTTGGCTAGCTTAGACCCTTTTGTCTTAGCTAGCAGGAGTAAAAGGATCACTTCAGGAGCTTGACTCCTGTAAAATCAAGAAAGTCAAGGTCATGACCCAAATGTTCCTGTCTCAAAACAGCAATGGTTTTTCTCTCAAGCTTCTTGTCAGTCTTGGATCACTAGGGAGCTCCACTCACTATTGTTTTCACTCCCCAAGATAGATGGAACCATGACCTGAATGTTGCTGCTGGCACCAGGCAAAGAGAAGGGACCATGGTGTAGCTGGCAGCAGCTCTTCACAGCTTCCCCCTAGAACTGATTTGGGCCACTTCCCATGCTCAGTGGGCCAAAATACATCTAAGCACCAGGTAGAAAAATGTAATCCCTCATGTGTTCAGGAGGAGGAAGACATAGGGTTGAACAGCTCTAATGACACCCATGTCCCCAGGCTGTGATACCTGGTGAAAATCAATAGAAGGCAGAAGGCAGTTAGAAGGTGTTCTTTCTTATGGGGCTAATGTACTTCTGTGCTCTCTGGTCTCCAGGTCTTCTTAATGTACAGATGTTCCTCGACTCATGATGGGGTTACCTCCAGTTACACCCATCCTAAGAGGAGGTATTATCCGTTGAAGATGGATGTAATGCACCTAACCTACCCCACGTCCCGGCTCAGCCACACAACGCACTACAGAGCACCGGCTGTGTCCTCTCGTGATCACGGGGCTGCTGCCACTGCCCAGCATCTGAGAGGATCAGACTGCATGGTGCCAGCCTGGGGAAGGATCAAAACTCAGCGCTACAAGTACCGTCTCTACTGAGTGCTTTCCCACCATCATCATGGTGAAACACTGTTGAGCCATCGAAAGTGGGAAACCCTCTGTTCTGCTGCCAGAATGGCAGGTGACAGTGGGCGTTATGTGAACTTGTTCTTTTCTCTTCCCAAATAATATTAGGTATTATTTGAATATGTGTTCAATTGAGGAAGCCTTAACTGACCGATAACTGGAATCTCTCACTGTGGATGTGCAAGAAGAGAAGTCAAAACACCACAGTTGATCATCAAAGAAGTTCTTCTTTGTCTGATATGAAACAGTGGAGGAAAAACCATCCCCAGAGCAAATGTGTGAAAATCACCAGAGTCCTGGTCTTCCTACTCCCAGAATGGTCTTGTTGCTCCTCACAGGGTCTTGCTTGAGCTTTGCTCCTTCAAAGATTCTGAGAGAAGAAATTGAAAAGGAAGTCCAGGCCTCCAGGAGGATCTTGAACTTTTAGGCTTTCAGTTCAATAACCTAGACATCGTCATGTAAGCATATTACGTACCGATGTTGGATTTCAGGGTCTGTATTTGTATTTCTGCTCATGGTCACCCAGGCTCCAAGCAGAGGGATTTCACTAATGTCAGTGATGAGGAAAGAAGGGGACTAAATATGAAATGACATACCCAAGCTAAGTGAAGAACAAGCAATGTCCCATCACATTGTTCAAGAAAAGTTTTCAGCTGGCACTGTGGCTCACTAGGCTAATCCTCCGCCTGCAGCGCCGGCACCCTGGGTTCTAGTTCCGGTTGGGGTGCCGGATTCTGTCCCAGTTGCTCCTCTTCCAGTCCAGTGCTCTGCTGTGGCCTGGGAGGGCAGTGGAGGATGGCCCAAGTGCTTGGGCCCTGCACCCCCGTGGGAGACCAGGAGGAAGCACCTGGCTCCTGGCTTTGCATCGGCACAGCGCATCAGCTGTAGTGGCCATTTGGAGGGTGAACCAATGGAAGGAAGACCTTTCTCTCTGTCTCTCTCTCTCACTGTCTAACTCTGCCTGTAAAAAAAAAAAAAAGTTTTCATGGTATTCCAATAAAAAGTGTGGGCGAGTTGGAAACCTCTGCCACACAAATAGACATGCTGTACTCAGAGGAACTCATATGTACTGGGCAGAGCTTCATGTCAAAGGCAAAAGGCGAAGCCAATTATAGTAGCCATGAGATTTTGTTGATTTGATGTGGCATTTCTACTTCAGGTAAAATCGGCAAAGTCAAATGTGATGAAAAGCGCTTAGTTACACCCATAACTGCTTACTATGTAGTTGTCAATGCAGTGGTGATAAGAGTCCAGTGTGACCCAACTCCGGGCACAAATTGTTGAAATGAAATGTAATCTTGTCATATGACCTTGGTCAATGATTTGCCAAAGCCAGCCTGACTAGATCTTATCTTTGTGAGAAACTCATCACCTGACTTCAGCCCTTGGATTTTCTTGACCTCTGTTGCACTGGACACTGCTGAACAGATTCCTCCTGAAAACATTCTCCTCCACTGGGTTCCATGAGCAGGTGGTCTTCCTGTCCCTGGAAATGCTCTGAGGTTCCTGTGTGAGCTTGCTTTTAAGTTGGCACAGCTCCCCTGGTTCCACTGCAATTCCCTTGTGAGTCAGCTGTCACAAATCACCGTGACCTCACCCCAGGCTCTTACCTCAAGGCCATCTTCTCTTGAACTTGACACCCAGAGTGTCTGCATGAATACACACGCAAATCCCCTATCTAAAATACTTGGGGTACGAAGTGTTTCAGATTTCAGAGCTGTATGTTTAGACTTTACCAGAAAAGCATCCTTAATTTGAAAATCTGATTGCACTGAAATCTAAAATTGTCTTCGTTGTCCTATGCAGCACTCCAAAAAGTCACAGGTTTCAGGGTATTTCAGATATTGGATTTTCAGATCAGGGGTGCTCAACCTATATATATATATATATATATATATATATATATATTTGACAGGCAGAGTGGACAGTGAGAGAGAGAGACAGAGAGAAAGGTCTTCCTTTGCTGTTGGTTCACCCTCCAATGGCCGCCGCGGCCGGCGTGCTGCGCTGATCCGAAGGCAGGAGCCAGGTGCTTCTCCTGGTCTCCCATGGGGTGCAGGGCCCAAGCACCTGGGCCATCCTCCACTGCACTCCCTGGCCACAGCAGAGAGCTGGCCTGGAAGAGGGGCAACCGGGACAGAATCCGGCGCCCTGACCGGGACTAGAACCCGGTGTGCCGGTGCCGCAAGGTGGAGGATTAGCCTAGTGAGCCATGGCGCTGGCCTCAACCTATATTTTTAAAATGATTGTCAATATTCAAAGCAGATATCATATTCCTCATAAATCTGATTTTTTTTAATACTCACTGCTTCAGTC